TCAGAATTATGAGATATCAATTCAGAACTGTGAGATATAAACTCAGAATTATGAGAAGATCAGAATTATGAGATATCAATTCAGAACTGTGAGATATAAACTCAGAATTATGAGAAGATCAGAATTATGAGATATCAATTCAGAACTGTGAGATATAAACTCAGAATTATGAGAAGATCAGAATTATGAGATATCAATTCAGAACTGTGAGATATAAACTCAGAATTATGAGAAGATCAGAATTATGAGATATCAATTCAGAACTGTGAGATATAAACTCAGAATTATGAGATATAAGCTCAGAATTACGAGATATCAATTCAGAATTATGAGATATCAATTCAGAACTGCGAGATATAAACTCAGAATTATGAGAAGATCAGAATTATGAGATATCAATTCAGAACCGTGAGATATAAATTCAGAATTATGAGATATCAATTCAGAACCGTGAGATATAAACTCAGAATTATGAGATATAAGCTCAGAATAAACTCAGGATTACGAAATATAAAATCAGAATTATGAGATATAAACTCAGAATTATGAGATATAAGATCAGAATTAAGCTTATTTCACCATAGAGTAAAATATAAAAAAGGTAATTGTGACTTTTTTTATCTCATAATTCTGAAAAAAAGTCTGAATTATGAGATATTTACTCAAAATTGCAATATATACTCAGAATAAACTGAGAATTATGAGATATAAACTCAGAATAAACTCAAGATTATGAAATATAAATTCAGAATTACGAGATATAAATTCAGAACTGCGAGATATAAACTCAGAATTATGAGATATAAGCTCAGAATTACGAGATATCAATTCAGAATTATGAGATATCAATTCAGAACTGCGAGATATAAACTCAGAATTATGAGATATAAGCTCAGAATTACGAGATATCAATTCAGAATTATGAGATATCAATTCAGAACTGCGAGATATAAACTCAGAATTATGAGATATAAGATCAGAACCGCGAGATATAAACTCATAATTATGAGATATAAGCTCAGAATAAACTCAGGATTACGAAATATAAAATCAGAATTATGAGATATGAACTCAAAATTATGAGATATACTCTCAGAATAAACTCAGAATTACGAAGTATAAACTCAAATTTGCAAGATATAAGCTCAGAATTATGAGATATAAACTCAGAATTACGGGATATAAACTCAGAATTACGAGATATAAATTCTGGTATGTCATAAACTCGCAACTGCAAGGAAAAAGGTAGAATTGCAAGATAAAACATCACAGTTATCGGTTTTATTTATTTTTTAAAAATTCTGTGACAGAAACAAAAACAACAGAATTGTGAGATGCAAACTCAAGACTTATGAGAAAAAAATAGCCAGAAGTATGAGATATGAACTTGCACAAAAAACCCCAAAAAAACTCAGAATTGTGATAAAAAAATTACGTTTTTATTTTTTACATTTCGTGGCAGAAACAAGCTTCCATAGGAAAGGGAAAGTTCAGCATAAGGCAACAACAGGCTTCAAACCGGGTAAGATGGACACTTGGCACAGGATCACAGGAACCCACGGCGGGACGAGAGCCAGAACCTTACGGGGCCACAAAACCTTCTGCTGTCCAGAACAGAGCTCACGGCATCAGATCCTGAGATACGGCACGCTTACATGGGACACAAACAGGATTTGAATCAACTGAAAACATATGTGTGACCCTGGACCACAAAATCAGTCATAAAAGGATAAATTTTTCGAAATTGAGATGTACACATCATCTGAAAGCTGAATAAATAATATTTCCATTGATGTATGGTTTGTTAGGATCGGACAATATTTGGCTGAGATACAACTATTTGAAAATCTGGTATTTGAGGGTGCAAAAAAATCTAAATATTGAGAAAATTGCAACCAAATTAAGTTCTTAGCAATGCATATTACTAATCAAAAAAGTTTACAAGGAAATTTACAAAATATTTACAAAACATGATCTTTAATTAATATCCTGATTTTTGGCATAAAAGAAAAATCGATAATTGTGACCCATACAATGTATTTTTGGCTGTTGCTACAAATATCCCCCAGCGACTTCTATCCTTATCTTATCTTATTTGCAAAAGATTGGAAATAATTTCGGTTTATTTTGATTTATTTTTTGTTTTAGTATCAATATCTGGCAACACTGCATGGCCGGTGTTCTTAAACTGAAAGCCATCAAAAAAGCCCAAGGACAGGTTTTTGCTGACAGGATACGACATTCGGTAAGAGAAACGCAAAAATTATCATGATATTATAATCATAAACGTTATGTCAAAAACAGTAGCATTTAACACTAGTACACACAGATCTGTAGAACAAGTGGGTTACAGAAAGAAATGAAATACGCAAAAACTAGCCCTGAAGAAGTCTATGCCATGTCATTCAGTATAGTTACATTTTCACAATTCATGCTATAAACTTTCATAAGAGCACTAGACAAGTTATGTATTGTTGCAATAAACAACTGAAAAAATTATTTTGATGCAATAAATAGGCTATGATTAAAAAATAATCATCCCTCCTAAACAGAGAAAATATCTTTCACAAACATCTACATGCCATACCATCTCCTTTAAAGTGTTTATAGTGTATATAATGAGTTGTATTTGTAGGGGTTATTATAACACAATTCTTTAACACCAACCCCCATCATGAAATATAAAACTATTTATATATATACAAAAATTGATTGTCAATATAGACAAACTATTTTACATATAGCATGAGTTATTGGGGCGGGGTTATCTGTTTGGCAACCAGTGACAGAAGGAAGGAGTGTTTGGAATTTTTGTCTGAAAACAGTTGTTTAACCAACTAACCAACTGTATCTATCACACTACATGACTGGCCGGGGCTGTCCGGGGCTGTCGGCACATAGACTCGATTCACTTCAGGGCTCGACATTAACGCTTCATTAACGCCAGACAAGTAACATGATTAAAACACCAGTAACCAACACCAAAACACAAGTATTATTCAGATTTTATTACATTTAGAGTAAGTGTTGAATAGTGGATCTAGCTACTGTATATAATGCATCTATTGACAATATAGGGTTCACCTCTCCAGGTGAAATCAAAACGCGCAACACATAGAAACTCAGCATCCTGAGGTAAAAGTTAAAAATGGAATGTTTTTATATTTAATATACAGTTAGTTAGGCCACATCACACAATGTTTTCACCATTATGACAGTTTATTAGATCTAAAAACAGTTCAATAAGCAAATACAATAATATGGTCACTTAAATTTTAGGCGGAAACACAGTGCATTTCACAGCAACCAGCCGATTCATTGCTGATTGATTCCGTGTTTTGAACGAATCGGTTGAGTCAAAGTTTCATTAGCCCATGCATAAACATCTGATAAATCTGCCGTTTGAACGAATCATTTGAATGAATGACTCAATGACTCACTACAAGGAAATTTACAAAATATTTACAAAACATGATCTTTAATTAATATCCTGATTTTTGGCATAAAAGAAAAATCGATAATTGTGACCCATACAATGTATTTTTGGCTGTTGCTACAAATATCCCCCAGCGACTTCTATCCTTATCTTATCTTATTTGCAAAAGATTGGAAATAATTTCGGTTTATTTTGATTTATTTTTTGTTTTAGTATCAATATCTGGCAACACTGCATGGCCGGTGTTCTTAAACTGAAAGCCATCAAAAAAGCCCAAGGACAGGTTTTTGCTGACAGGATACGACATTCGGTAAGAGAAACGCAAAAATTATCATGATATTATAATCATAAACGTTATGTCAAAAACAGTAGCATTTAACACTAGTACACACAGATCTGTAGAACAAGTGGGTTACAGAAAGAAATGAAATACGCAAAAACTAGCCCTGAAGAAGTCTATGCCATGTCATTCAGTAGAGTTACATTTTCAGATGTACAAGACAAAGTTATTGTAGTTATGTATTATTGCAATAAACAACTGATAAAATTATCCACCCTTAAATATAGTAAAGTATTAACAAATTTTGATGCAATAAATAGGGTATGATTTAAGAATAATCATCCCTCCAAAACAGATAAAACATCCTTCACAAACATCTACATGTCTGTCTCCTTCAGTGTTTATAGTGTATATAATGACCTGTATTTGTAGGGATTAGAACACCAACCGCCATAAAATATATATTTTAATAAATAAATATATATATGTATATACTACTGAGAAGTATGATCAATATTTTCTGCAGGTGAAGCCGCTTCATTCACTGACCTCTAGTTGAATAAGAACACATTTTGACTTCATTTTCAAGCTCTATTTTGTATCCTATTCATGGAAACCAGTGTGCAAGATGATTGTTGGGTAATAACCGGGTTTTATCTCCATAAAGAGCTGCCTTCGCATCAGACACAACTTCTGTCCAGGTGAAAAACTGAATAAAAACACTCCCAGCAAAGCAGTCGCAGCCGTTATCTGATAAGAATTTCATTAAAACCTTTATTCCATTACATGTGTTACATTCAATATCCAATGTTTCGTTTGGACACATATATGACGGCATGAATACAAACAAGTGTTCATCTGTTGTGCCGTGCCTAATCAATAGTATAAGATGAGTGAGCAGAACTTCACACCCGCGTATATTTACATAGAAAGTCAAACTTTATACAAAGTCCATGCCGTTAATATTTACACACCTCCGAGCAACCGTCCTTTACAGTTTGTTCTTACAAAAGAAACGCAGCGTTAATAGGGAGCTTCTGACCACAAAAATGGGACGTGACTTGCAAATCTCTTCCAGAATTATTATTATGCATAACCGGACATCAAAACTGGCTCTGTGTTTGGGTGACGTCTGCATTTAAAGGCATTTCATAACAGACACCTGAAATAAATAAATACAGGAATGGGTTACTCCTGTAGTGCTCTCTCTGACCTCCAGGAACAGCGAGGTGTAAAACTCGGGCTCTAGCTGCTTGTTACGGTAGCGGTTCACAATTTCTGTGATTTTCTGTTTCCGCCGCACGTGTGGCGGGCTGTAAGAGTCGCTCTCGAGACGCTTCCTCCGACACGCGTTTATTACAGTCTGACGCACCAGGAATCCTGGAGAGAGTGAGAGAATGACAAGTTCATGACTGCAGACTTCATTTACACACACACACACACACTCGCACACACACCTACGCACTCGCACGCACTCACCCACCCACACACTCGCACTCTCACACACCCACACTTGCACATACACACCCCCCCCCACCCCCACACACACACTTGCACACGCACTCTCACACACCCACACACACTTGCACACTCACACACACACACACACACACCCCGTCCCCACATACACACCCACCCGCACTCTCACACTCACTCACTCGCACTCTCACATGCACTCGCACTCGCACACACCTACACACACACACACACACACGTATGGTCAGCTATCCTTGTGGGGACTCTCCATAGGCGTAATGGTTTTTCTACCCTACCCCTAAACCTACCCCTCACAGGAAACTTTCTGCATTTTTAGATTTTCAAAAAACTTAATTCTGTATGATTTATAAGCTTTTGTACCCGTGGGGACCACAATTTAGGTCCCCACCATGACACGAGTCCCCATGAGTCTGTGTGTAGTCAGGTTTAAGTCCCCACCAGGATATATAAACCAGTACACACACACACACACCCAGTGATCTCCTGCTGACCACCATGTTGTCCACCAGAGGAATGACCATGTTGAATTTGCCCAGAGCACCGTGCAGTTTGACCCGAAACAGGCCAGTCTTCAGCGGATGTATGAATATTATGGGAACATCCTTCTCTGAGGAGCTGGACCTGAGAGAGACCACGTGTGACAGTGAATGAGATCGATGGATTCAGGGACTGAAATCGGTCTTTCACGCTGTTTGTTACCTGGAAGCGCTGCTGTTGACAGCCGTCTCCACACCGGTGCTCGTCTCCGCCAATAACTCAGACACGGGAAAGTTCTCTGAAAGAAAACGCACACAAGGAAAAGTAATGATTTATTAATTAAAGAGCCACATAGAACGCATCTATTTTACATCTTAAGTGGAAGTAAATGGAAAACATTTGACCTATGTCATCGTATCGCTCAACCCACACGACCAACACTTTGGCGTCTGGTCCTAACGGCGGTATCGCCCTGCCAGCCGGCAACTTCCTGCTTTTTACTGTCGGGGACTGAGCGCAAGAATAAACATTACACTCTACTGGTCAAAAACCTGGAACAATCAAGATTTGTTAATTTGGAATAAGTCTATTCTGCTCACCAAGGCTGCATTTATTTGATAAAAAAATACAGTAAAATAGTGAAATATTATTATAATTTAAAATAGCTGTTTTCTATGTGAATATCTGTTAAACTGTAATTTATTTCTGTGATGCACAGCTGTATTTTCAGCATCATTACTCCAGTCTTCAGTGTCACATGATCTTCAGAAATCATTCTAATATGCCGATTTGCTGCTCAACAAACATTTCTGATTATTATCAGTGTTGAAAACAGCCTGAATCCTGAAAAATAAAATGTATCAGTTTCCACAAAAATATTAATGTTTTCAACACTGATAATAATCAGAAATGTGTCTTGAGCAGCAAATCAGCATATTATACTGATTTCTGAAGATCATGTGACACTGAAGACTGGAGGAATGATGCTGAAAATACAGCTGCGCATCACAGAAATACATTACAGTTTAACAGATATTCACACAGAAAACAGCTGTTTGAAATTGTAAATGCAGCCCTGGTGAGCAGAAGAGACTTCTTTTTAAAAATATAATTAAGATCTTTTAATTCCAAACACTATACTCTCTCTATGTATATATGTGCATGTATGTATGAGAACAGCAGTCAAGGACATATGTGACCCTGGAGCACAAAAGCAATGTTAAGTCGCTGGGGTATATTTGTAGCAATAGCCAACAATACATTGTATGGGTCACAATTATAAAAAAAAAAAGTGAAAATACGCACTCACGTGAGAGAGTGTATGTGTGTGTGTGTCTGTGTGTGTGTGTGAGTGAGTGAGTGAGTGTGTCTGTATGTGTGTGCGTGCGTGTGCGTGAGTGTGTGTGTATGCGTGTGTGTGTGTGTGTGAGTGTATGCGTGTGTGTGTGAGAGAGAGAGAGAGTGTGTGTGTGTGTGTGAGTGTATGCGTGTGTGTGTGTGTGTGTGCGTGTGCGTGGGCGTACCTGGTGTCTCAGCGCCGTTGGATGTGTTGATAGTCCAGCTGGTGAACACACTCCCCGTCCATCCCGGATGCTGTCCGACCTCCACCGGCCATCCCAGAGACAACAGCAGCTCCAGAAAGTGTGGCTGTACGTTTGCTGACGACTCCACGTTCCTCAAGATCTACACACACAAGCTCAGTATTAATAAAGCTGATCTCTGCTCACCTGTGACTGCACATCAGCTGCACTCTAGCTGTGTTCAGTGTGCACATTCCCAGCAGGACACTGAAGAGGATTCACCTCTTGGCTGCTCTTCTGTCCAGCTTTCATGTAGAAGATAAACACGGTGTCACACGGCCGGGACGGTAACAGGTCCAGGTAGCCTATGTCATCGAAAAAGCCCGGCACGGATGAGTCCAGAGCGATGAGGTGAGGAGGCAGTCGACTGTTTCCAGGCTCCTGAGAAAAAACACAAAGCACAAGCTAGATTTAACTCAATGTTTTTTCCTGCCATTAATACAGGAATAAACATTATTACTGAGAAAAATCCATGCTTAAAATTAAAAGAATCTGAATCTAGAACATTGGATAATTCTGCATAAGTGTAGCTAGAGGAGAGGCAAATTTAAAAATAAAAAAATAAAAAAAAACTAAAATAGGCAGTAAAATTAATAAAAAATATTATATAACTCACAAATGCAGTGTGATATAGCTTAAACATACTTTCATAATAATTTTTTTTTGAACTAATTTAACATATTGTGCAAAATATGCACTCCACTCTCTTAGTGTAACTTGGTGAGGCTTGTAAGCAGTTATTTTTTTATGAAAAAAAAAAAGAAAAAAAAAAAATATATATATAAAATAAAATCACAAACACTGTGATATTGTTTAAAAATATTTGTATAATACATTTTTAAATTTACATTATTAATTACATTAATTATTAAATTAAAATAAAAAATATAAAAATGAAAGCGAATTCAAAATATGAAAAACACTAATAGTATATAAATAATACTAAATTAACAAAAAATGCATCATATATCCTCATTCAGATAGGAAATGTGTGTGTTTTATATAAAATAAAAATCACAAATGCTGTGTGATATTGGTTAAAAATGATTTTATAATAAAAAAAAATTATATTTACATGATTAATTGTTAATTATTAAATTAAAAATATAAAAATAAAAGCGAATTAAAAATATAAAAAAATACATTTATCTTCATTCAGATAGGAAATGTGTGTTTGATATAAAATAAAATAAAACCACAAAAGCTGTGTGATATTGTTTAAATATTTTTATAATACATTTTTTTATTTTATTTTACATAATTGTGCACAATATTTACTCAAAACTCATTCCAAAGTATGTAATTTGAATCAGAACTAACTGCTGGAACTGATCCAAAGGAACAGCTGAAATACTGAAAAACCTCAAAGACACTGGCCGATCTGCCAGTCCTTCACTAACAGAGACATTCAAAGCAAACATGTGACGGGCCGTTCTCGTACCTTGAGCGCCTCTAGTGACAGGAAGCCGAAGTGCGACAGGAAGAGGCGGGCCGTCTGGAACTCTTGAGCGGGAGCTGGCGGTTTACAGTCTGTCAGCGGGTCTGGGAAGGGTTTGTTCCTCCATAACTCCTCCGTACAGTGCTCCAGTTTCGTCTCGTAATCGATCTGCTTTCCCATCACGGCTCGCAGCTTATCGTGCTGCTGCTCCAACTGAAACACACACACACACATACTTGTATTTGTGGTTTACGGGGACTCTCTATAGGCGTAATGGTTTTTATACTGTACAAACTGTATATTCTATCGCCCTACACTAACCCTACCCCTAAACCTACCCCTCACAGAAATCTGCTGGCAATTTTTGAATTTCATAAAACACTGTTTTGTATGTTTTTTTAAGCCTTTTGTTTTACGGGGACACAGGAAGTGTCTTCATAAACCATGTTTACCTTGTAGTACCCATGTCATTATACACATTTGTGACCTCATAAACCATATATACCAGTACACACACACACTATATACACACACACTCACACAGAGTCACACACACACACACACACACACACACACACACACACACACACACACACACACTCACACACACACACACACACAGTCACACACAGTCACACACACACACACACACAGTCACACACACACACAGTCACACACACACAGTCACACACACACAGTCACACACACACAGTCACACACACACAGTCACACACACACAGTCACACACACACAGTCACACACACACAGTCACACACACACAGTCACACACACACAGTCACACACACACAGTCACACACACACACACACACTTACACACACACTCACATATTATGAGCAGCAAGATGAATCATGAGGTGCACAGATTTTTTGAACGCTTCTTTCTATGCAGTCGTTACTCGTAACTGCTTATCATGGAGAAGAAAGGAAGTCAATCGATATTTATTTAAGTCAATCACGTCACATTGATTTCTATAATGCTTATGTAACACTGACTGTTTCAAAGCAGCTTCACAGTAATAAACAGGAAAATTACTGAATCGATGCGAACTTCATCAAATATGACACAAAGTCAAATTCTAACAAGGCAATCGTGTTATTATTATACTGTCATTTATTTAATACTTAAAGGCTTGATAGGCTATTAATTTTCAAAAATTGGTTTACATCAGTGCAGTGCTTCCCACAGGATCTTGTGGACCTCGGAAATTCTTCCGAATTTGAATAAAAGTTTTGTTCATACCCTGTACAAGCAGCACAGTTTCAGGATTGACATACATCCCGCATGCCTCATATAAATGCAGGATTCACTTAATAGCTTGTTTGCAGTCAGAGTTAGTCGCTTAGCCTATATCCACCGCCTCGATGGCAGGAACATATTTCAATTTAGTTGAAAAATCGCTCCTCTTCATAACATTAGGATCACGTCCAACATATGTCGTGATTTTCTGTTTAATCACGGGATTACAAACAAGCTATTACATGACTTGAAATTACATATATTTGTGTTATTTTACACTTTAATCTGTTAGGAACATTTGTTTACTTGATACATTTTTACATTTTAATCTTAAACATGCCATTAAAAGTATCTTTGTAATGGTTGAAAATGTTCTTTATTATCATTTATTTGCACTTTAATCTGTTTGAAACCTTTGTTTACTTTTACTGTTTTATTGTTTTAAAGTATATAAATGCCGCTTATATAAGAAACGAAAGTGACTAAACTTGTTATTAAGAGGGCAGCACCTCATTTTGCATACCATGATAAAAGCTTCATCAATCACCGTGATATTAAACTGAGATAACATCCACATAGAAGTGTGTAACACTAAAGCTAACACAATGCTCTGAGGCTTTTTACCTCTTTATTTACAATGTCATGGAGATCCGGGATGCTCAGGTCAGCTTTCACGAACGGAATCTTATCCACTTCTTCTGGAAACGGCCTGTGCTTGACGTTAAACCGAATCCCTACATCGTTTTTGGGATCCGGTCGGCTTTCAGGAACAAACACTTGCTGCGGGACATAAAGAGACGAAGTATAATCATAACTCTGCTCATCACACTAATTGGATACTAGTTTTGGATGCTGATTCCAAAAAATACTGTGTGTTTTGCTTGAGCACGTCACACTTTCTCAATAAATATGATGCATTTTGTAGTCACCATTTTCACATGACATTATTTTATGCTTATGATTTCAAGGTTAGAATTACAGCCAGTGACAGAAGAAAACACAAACACGAGCCTGATGTTTTCTGCTTCATCTGTTGGTGTTTTACAGCCATAGAAAATTACAGATTTGATGAAAAAGCTTATTTATTTCTAAACTTGTTCATGTAGTTTTTTTGGCATTAAATAGAGAATTTGAACATATTTTTCCAAGTTAAATTATGCATTTTAAATACACTGTTTTGTCTTTAAAACCAAAACTTTTGAAAGCTGACTGTTTTGTTACAGTCAAACCACAATGTTTTCAGACACATTCACACATTATCGCAGCTTATTCGCTATAGTTTAGAAAATGGTAATAAAATATGACAAGAACTCAGAGTTAAACTGTGTCAGAACAAATTCACCTGTGTGCGCGTGTGTGTGTTTGTGTGTGTGTGTTTGTGTGTGTGCGCGTGTGTGTGTGTGTGTGCGAGTGCGTGTGTGTTTGTGAGTGTGTGTGTGCGCGAGTGTGAGTGTTTGTGTGTGTGTGTGTCTGTGCGCGAGTGTGTGTGTGCGTGAGTGTCTGTGTGACTGTGTGTGTGTGTGTGTGTGTGTCTGTGTGTGTGCGTGCGTGGTGTCTCAGTTTTAGTGGATGTGGTCAGGTCAAAGTGTCTCAATAATTTTGGTCCAAATTTGTATAAATTTTACTGGTAGTCCACTGTATGAAGAATTTTTAGGTATAATATATCAGTTTACTTTATTTTGCTATCCTCACTTACATAAATAAACTATAGTGACCTGCACCCACTAGTAAAAAAATATATAACAAAATGATATCTGGTGTCTGAATAACTTTTGGTTTGTATTTTGATAAATCTTCATTCTTATTTTGTGAAAAAGAATAAAATTAATTTGAACTCAGCATCATCAAATTAGGTAAAATTAGGCCTTTTTTTTTGCAAATACTGATTCTGTGAAGCCACATTCTTTCACAGGCCATTTTAATTGCTTCTGATTGGCTACTAAAAGCGCTTCTACATTCTGATTGGTGGTTGAGATTGAGTCTAACCTTCTGACTGGCTCTTGCTCCTCGAGGCTGATGGAAGAGCTGCATTGTCCACGCGTGTCGACCGGACATGCCTCTGATTAACATGGTCACTGACGGACTGGGGTCTGCTGACACAAACGCAATGTTAAGAAACCAGAGTTGAAAATATAGCGGAGGACTGACGTGTGAAGTGTGTCGTTCTCACTCTGCTCGTTTCCCAGCGGCTGCTCCAGCATGGCAAGAATGACGGAGTTATCCAGAACGAAGTATCTGAAGTTGCTGTGGGATGTGGAAGTGAGTTGGGAGTATTTGATCAGCGTGTCTTCATTCAGCAGACTGCAGGGCGATGCGGGGCCGCTGGGAGACGGGAACGCACCCAACACCTGCATTATACTGGAACACACAGCATCACAAATCACAGACGGGCTTGAAAACCACGGGAGAGAGAGGTCAATGCCAGTTTATGAAGGACGCTCACCATGATAATGTGGCCTCGGCAGCGTCTTTAACCCTCATCGACGCCGGGTTGTGCTCTTTATCACCTTTGTACTTCACTTCCTGTTCGCCGGTTTTGGACTTGCTGCCCGAGATGCCGAGCTCGACGATTTCCAACACCTCGATCAGACAATCCTTAAAGACACAATAAAATAAGACTGAGCTCATAAAATGAAACGCATTACAGATCAAACAACAGATGAGTGGCCAAAACAACAACAACAACAACAAAAATCTCTATTTTCTTCAGACATCTTCATAATTATTAATTTAAACATATTGTGTTGTTTCAAGTACTGCTCTAAACGGTAAAAATCTAGTTAAAACATTCAAGGCATGTTTTCCACAAATTATTATTATTTTGTTTTATATATATGCACCAATATAATAAAGTATGCTACTGTTAAAAAGTTTCGGGTCAGTAAGATTTCTTTTTTTTTTTAAAAGAAAATAATACTTTTATTCATCAAGGATGCATTAAATTGATCAGAAGTGACAGTAAAGACATTTATAATGTTACAAACCATTTAAATAATTCAAATAAATGCTGTTCTTTTGAACTTTCTATTTCTGAAAATATCACAAAAATATTAAGCAGCAACATTGATAATAATCAGAAATGTTTCGTGAGAAGCATATTAGAATGATTTCTGAAGGATCATGTGACACTGAAGACTGAAAATTCAGCTTTGATCTCAGAAATAAATTACATTATAACATATATTCACATAGAAAACAGTCATGTTAAATTGTAATAATATTTCACAATTTTTACTATATTTATGATCAAATAAATGCAGCCTTAGTGAGCAGAAGAGACTTATTTAAAAAAACATTAATGAATCTGATCCGACTCTAAACTTGTGAACAGTAGTATATACAGTATATATATTGTACTAAAAAGCAATATGTACCTACATACAGTACATGTACAAATTTAAAACCAGTAAAATGCACATTGTTTAGAAGATAATGTAAACAAATCACTGAAGCGATGAAGTGGAATTGAATCAAACTTCCCAAATCTATCACCATTTTATAGAGGATTCAATTAGAGGCATCAAAACAGAGTGTGCGAATCTTATCGCTGCTCTTTTTAGGAAGCTTAATATCTGAATCAAAAGTGGTGTGAAATCATTACAATGTTTCTTGATTTCATCAATACATCTCGAATGTTTAAGCAGCCTGAGCTCAATTATATTCGTCATTTAACTAAATGCCATTTGGCAGTAGGGTTGTGACGGTGAGGAAATCTTCCCACTGGTTAATCGACGTGTAACAACACGTTTCCTCGCTTTCCTTCGCTTTTAAATAGCTTGTAAAAGCAGCGTGCGCATTTTACTTTCACTTTCAAATAACGGCAATTCGGCGTAAAGCAATTGTTTGTTTGAACTTTCCCTCACTTTTCTTCGCTTTTAAATAGCTTAAAAGCACCATGCACATTTTACTATTATCTAATAGCGTCAATTCGGCGTCAGTTGCTTGAATGCAACAAAAAAATACAACGTCAAACTCACTTTAGCCTATATATAAAACATAGAACTTTTATTAACAAAACAAATAAAAATACACCATGCTATAGGGCAGGCTATGCCTAATATAAAATAACAAATAACTTACATAAAGTTTAAATAGGTAGCCTATACAAAACTGGAAATATGTAAACATGTATAATATATAACCAAATAAATAAGAAACGTAGAACGTTTATTAGCAAAACGAGTAAGAAAGTTTGGAGGCACGGCGTACACCTTGATGTCAAATAAAATAAATAAATGACACAAAGTTTAAATAAAGTAAAAATCAGCAAACAATGTGGAACCAATTAAAAAAGAAACGAATGTTTAAAAAACTTCCAAAATCAGCTTAGATAAACAGCAGAAGTCAACAGGCTTTTCAAAATCCAAAATACTGCCAAACAGGTGCTTTTGCATTTCGTCTCGAAACTAAATCATCCGCGATCGTCTTGTCTGTCTCAGACTCACTCTCCTCACTGGAGAAATGAAATCTGATCTGTGATGCAACTGTCGTTCGTTGTAGTGTCTGTTCTTTTACTGAACTAAATTATATTTATTACTATAAAAAAATCTAAACGACGGTGGGCGTCGGTGGGCAAGTGACAAGTGGGCAAGTGACGTAACTGGTGTTGCGGCTTAATGTTAGCACCGTCTATCGCGGCAAGCCTATTTGGCAGTAGACATAAATGGGAAGTTGATTTGAATCGCAAGCTTTGTTTTTTGGCTTCACTGATCAGTTTCAGCATTTCCAGACTGTAAAATAGCTGAAGCTGAGGTCAGACGGGCCGTACCTTCTCATTGAGCATGTCGGGGTGCTCTGTGAGCCAGACGCACAGGCAGTGGAAAGCAGCGACGATCATGGAGTGCAGATCTCTGGAGTGAAGCGGAGCGGGACGACTGCACTGATACACGATATAACTGCACACGGAGCTGACGGCACGCTTACGATCCGACGACTCCACGCTCACCTTCACCTGGACAGAAAAACACATGCATTTTATGGAAAGTGGTCCAAAAGTGGAATTATTATGATTTTTTTTTAAATACATATTTTTGAAAGAAGTCTCGTGCTCAGCAAAGCTGCATTTGTTTGATCAAAAATAAGAGTAAAAACAGTAAAAATTTTGAAAAATTATTGCAATTTCAAATAACTTTTCTATGTGAATATCTGTTAAACTCTAATTTATTTCTGTGATGCGCAGCTGTATTTTCAGCATCATTACTCCAGTCTTCAGTGTCACATGATCTTCAGAAATCAGTATAATATGCTGCTGCTTAACAAACATTGAACACATTGAAAACATGAAAACATTATTCCAAAATTTTTGTGGAAACCGTGATGCATTTTATTTTTCAGGATTCTTTGATGACACAGCACGCCACAGACAGCGGGTTAGTAACACACACACACACACCAGACGCAAGCCAGGCACAGAGATGCAGACGTGATACGGCCATGTGATGGCAACCGCAAACCATACACATGATCACAGACGAGCACAAGAACGCGTTATCGCTCGCTAGTTACAGACACTGATGATTTAGTCCAGCAAAATCATAATAACAGAGGCTTCATTTGACACCATGCTTTGAAAATAAAGAAAAGCATTCATTATATAGAACAAAAACTGGTTAAAGACATTCCACGTGAGCCGCACTTTGAAGAAATATCCACTTCATTCCACATTCATTTGCAGACAGGCATTTTAAAATGTGCCAGTGATGAAGCATCATTGCACTGTATTTTAATAATGTTATTGTATTGTTTTATTGCTTTTTAGTCTGCTTTGTAATGTGCCTGTTTGTCTTATTTCACAGCACACTGGTCAACTTTGGTTGTGTTTAATGGTGCTATATAAATAAAATTGACATTGACATTAAAATGCACCATAAATATGTTTGACAAACACCATGCAACTTCTACAAACATGCATGACATCACATTCCTCAGATGCACTTAAAAAGAAAAGCACAGCTAGCCATCTGGGCCTCTTCATTTTTGGGTCACACTTGGTACCTTCGCGGTAAAAAATGCCGAATGAAATAACTTTTTTCTTTTTTCAGGAAAATCAATGTAATATATTTTTCTTCAATAATATTTTTGGATTATTATTTAAAATTATGAGGGGATTTTATGATACTATGCAATATTTATATAATTTTTATGAGCTATTTTTTTCACAGTCATTTCAAAGGTACCAAGTGTTACTTTTTTAATTTTCGACCCTTTAACATTTCCGAATCACGTCCATGATTTTTTTGTGTGTTCACATAGCTAACGTGACAAAAGTCACCAATTGTCATCCCATTCCGATGGTGCAAAAAAATTAAAACATTCAAAATGTAAATTTTTTTGGTCAGTTTCGAACGAAGAGGCCTAGAAGGCTAGACCAAAAAAATTAGGATTGTTTACATATTGGCTAGTTTTATGATACGTTTAAAGTGCTTTTATGATATTATGGTATCGTAAGCGTTCACTGAAAGGAAAGTGCAGCGTGAATGTTCTCCAAAATATCTTGTGCTCCACAAAAATGAAAAATCATATTGTGGGATGGCACAAATAAAATAAACTACACCACACTCTGGGTGGTATTGTAAATGTGAGCGCAAAATATAATAAACAGGATCACTTATAGCATCTGTGAGTCACACAGTTGATTAATCTTGGCATTGCTGGAATAATTAAATGGGTGAAATCTTACTGAGCTTTTACATTTATGCAAAGCATTCCGTGACAAAAGTCACCAATTGTCATCCCATTCCGATGGTGCAAAAAAATTAAAACATTCAAAATGTAAATTTTTTTGGTCAGTTTCGAACGAAGAAGGCTAGACCAAAAAAATTAGGATTGTTTACATATTGGCTAGTTTTATGATACGTTTAAAGTGCTTTTATGATATTATGGTATCGTAAGCGTTCACTGAAAGGAAAGTGCAGCGTGAATGTTCTCCAAAATATCTTGTGCTCCACAAAAATGAAAAATCATATTGTGGGATGGCACAAATAAAATAAACTACACCACACTCTGGGTGGTATTGTAAATGTGAGCGCAAAATATAATAAACAGGATCACTTATAGCATCTGTGAGTCACACAGTTGATTAATCTTGGCATTGCTGGAATAATTAAATGGGTGAAATCTTACTGAGCTTTTACATTTATGCAAAGCATTTTTTTTTCAATGCTTTTGTTAAAAGTTAAAAGTTCAAACAGCTCTAATGCATCGGTCGGTTGTGCACAGTGTCCCTCTGGGCTTACCGTAGTCCCTCATCAGGGCCTGTGCGGGACGCTCGCTGTCTGGAGTCGTAGCCTCGGAGCTGCCTGCGCTTGTGTTGCTGATGCCGCTGTTATTACGACTGTGGCTCTTAGCCAGAGAATGGCTTCCATCCACACTGCCCTACACAGAGCACAGACACAATGCCATTTTTAACTGGTAAATTGTGAGTGCTCTTCATCACATTTCATGTCGCTGACACTTCAAATCTATCTCTTTGAAATTACAGAGCTCATAAATAAATAGGAAGTATAACTCGTACCACTTCAGCTTGAGCACCAACAGACTCCAACAGAGCCGAATCCTGGACGATATTCAGCATTGCCGCTATAAACAGACAGAAATGCAGTTATTACTGACACTTATCACTATTAAATGTGCATAAATCAAACTAAAGCAATAACTCAAAAAAGACGCTTTTATTACAGTTAAGGAGATTTGGTTGGCATGATGCAAAGCGGGTAAAATCCCTACATACATCCTTATTGGTTTTATGGCAAACTGCTTTTATAAAATGATTGGATAATAATAATAATAATACTTTTTTTTATGTAATGACAAAATATTAAAATAATTAATTAGCTTTTATAAAATAATGATAACTGCATTTTTCTAATATAAGAATATTAATTTTGTTAAATAGCTTTTATAAAATAATAATAATAATTTCTAAATAATATTATAATAAAATATTACAATAATAACATATTAAAATTGTTAATATATTTTATTATTATTTTATAAAATATTAAAATAATTAATTAGCTTAACTAATGGCTAATTAATATTTATATACGAGTTCAGTCACAAGTTTGTGTATATCAGGTATCAAGGGTTTGAACGAGGCTCATCCAATCAGATTTTAGTGCCTGAACTATATGTTTTACAATATTTCTCTATCAGTAAATGGACATATTGATCAGGCAGCCGTACCTAATATCATCTGTGTATTGATCGAGTCTGTCTCTGTTTGCAGGGCGCCAATCAAAATATTGACCAATCGCAGCTTCAGGGAGAGGAAGGTGACGGCCTTGTCATGAAGAGAGTTGTCATCATTGCTGAATTTCCCCTCCAACAGAACCTGCAAACGCAATTAGAAACCACAGCCTATTTTAATTTGTATTTTTATCCCAGAAAATTAAGTTACAGAGAAAATGATTAAATGCTAAACCCAGATCTGAAGCCTTTCACCTCTGATTTGACGTTGCCAAAGTGGTGAGGAAGAGGAAGCATGGACAGCAGGATATGGATGGAAGCTCTTCTCAGCTCAGTGGGGTTCACATACGACTTAAACTTAGACAACTCTCTGTTGGCGCAGAAGAAACATGCATTAAAAACAGAGCATGTAGACTAGGGCTGGGTAAAAAATATAGATATCTGGATATTAAAGGTCCCATATTGTACACCTTTCTGGAGTTTTATTTTAGGTTTTGATGTCCTTAAGAATATATATTTGCGGTATAAGTACCAAAAACCATCTCAATATATTTTTACAGCTCCTCTCTCAGGAACTCTGCTGAGAACGGGTCGATTTTGGCCTGTCTAATTAATATTCATGAGCCTCTCTTCTGATTGTCCTGTTGTGTTCTGAGTGACGCACGGCCAGGCCAACCACAGGTAACTAGGGTCAGCGATGTCACAGCGCTAGCTGGAGGCAGCTAAACAAAGGGGAAACTGGAGCCGGCCCATTCAAACCAGCGCAGGTTCGGCTACATAAGGAGCTTAAAATAGCATCTTGTTGTGATGTTGGGTGCCAGAATCGACGTAGTACAGCCTCAAATTAGAAATTTGATCGCATATCTGCTGCCACTGCCAGACAAAAAACTGACGACAGCTGTGGTTAAACGCTATAAAATGAGCGGACTGGACAGAAACGATCATCAAAAAATGTGAGTGTAACGTTACAGGTCAGCCGATCTGGTTTTGTGGTTAAAGTTAACCTTTTCGACATGCTTCCGTGTTGTTGTTGCTCAGCAATGGCATGGACGCGATGTTGTCTGGGGGTGTGGCTAAAGGAGAGCGGGACGGTGGGCGGTGCTCGGCGGGGTGGCTGAAGGCGGTGACTGTGTAGTTCTGACGTCAACTTTTTACGGAAGTCACAATGGTTCGTGAAAAATCACAGCTACTTTATGCAGACTGTGTGCATTTTACTGTGGACTGACTGTTTTGAAACTTATATGGTAGTTACATAGCACCTAGACCTCAGTTATCGTGAAAAAAGCCAGGAAATTTCAGTTCTGACAATATGGGACCTTTAATCGATTCAAATTTTTACGGAACGATATCGATTCTTAAATCCCAAATATTGATTAGTCTAGCCTGTTTTCAGTTAATGGACGGAACATTGAAGGGTACTTCCCATCCAATATATCGCAATAAGCATTGTGCTTTGGACTTTTAATATGAAACAAAGTCTCAGATTTCAAATTTTGTCCATTGTATTGCAGAATTTAAACATTAAATGACGTTTTGGCACTGTTTAATGTGGAGTGATAGATCGCTGTAGCGCTGCGCGCCTCAGTTCAGTAAAAGCTGATCATCTCCTCCACTTTAATACCAGTTTCAGCACAAAATAAACATGACTAAACATCCGAAGGTAAGTTAAAAGAAAGAGTACAACTTTACAATCCGTATCCTGTCTCATGTAATCGCTCAATCAGTGTTTCAGCCGCGCAAAGACTGTGGCTTGTAAACAATGTCACGTAACGTCACATTTACCCCAGAAAAACATATTCGGTGACCATAAACTCATTAGTAAGCTAGAAAAATAAACTGTAGATATAACTGCTAAATATATGCACCATATTCATAATTTTTGCTGTTCTTCAGTGTTTAGTCATGTATGTTTGAATAAATCCATCAAGTTTTTGACAGCCACCATTTAAATGTTTATATTTCAAAAAATTAACTAAAGTAGAAGTAGGCTATTATTATGTAGCTAATTATAACTTTATTAATTAAAAAAGTTCATTAAGTGTAATTTTAGAAGTTGTATATTAGCCTACGAATCAGTACATTTTAACCTTCAGTATTATAGTAATGTAGTACCAACTGACGCTCATGTATATTTTACAGCATTAGTTGAGAGATTTTTTTTTTCCTTGAGAAAATTTGGCATGTACTGTACCTGATATGTATCCAAAATAATCAATACTGTATCGAATCGCAAGCTTGTGAACGAGAATCGAATCGAAACGTGAAATTTGTGTCAAAACCCAGCCCTAATATAGACATATTTTGGATCCGATTTCTCAGAAATCAGAAAGCATCGCTCACCGATCCGGTAGGATGGTCTCCAGCGCAGATATGAAGTAAGGAACCACAACATTGATCCCTTTGAGATCAGAGCAGAACAGAGCCGAAGAGTTGAGGATGATGCTGGCTAAAACCGGCCTGCAGATGAAGTCCGATATCTGAAGACCCTGCATGAGGACCATGTAGAACCTAACAGAACCATCAGATACAGAACAGAGGTTCATCTGTTTGGAATAATCAATATTTTTAAGTTTTGAAGTCTCTTATGCTTCCCAGGGCTGCATTTATTAAACCAAAAATACTGTAAAAATTGTGAAATATTATTACAATCTAAAACAGCTGTTTTCTAAGTGAATATCTGTTAAAGTATAATTTATTTATCTGAATCTTCAGCATCATTCCTCCAGTCTTCAGTGTCACATGATCTTCAGAAATCATTCTAAGATGCTGATTTGCTGCTCAAGAAACATTTCTGATTATTATCAATGTTGAAAACTTGAGTGGAAATTGTGATGCACTTTATTTTTCGTGATTCTTTGACGAATAGAGAGTTCAAAAGAACAGCATTTTTAAAAAATAGAAATCTTCTGAAACATTATAAATGTCACTCTTGGTTAATTTAATGCATACTTGCTGAAAAAAAAAACGTAATTTCTTTAAATTAATTTATTTCAAATAAATGCAAGATAGTTGAGCATAAGAGACTTCGGAAACATCAAAAATCTTAAAGGGATAGTTCATCCAAAAATTTAAATTCTGTCATTAATTACTCACCCTCGTGTTGTTCCAAACCCGAAAGACCTTCGTTCATCTTCGGAACACAATTTAAGATATTTTTGATGAAATCTGAGGGCTCTCTGACCCTCCCATAGACAGCAAGGTAACTACCACGTTCAAGGTCCAGAAAAGTACCAAGATGATCGACAAAGTAGTCCGTGTGACATCAGTGGTTCAACTGTAAAGTTACGAAGCTACGAGAATACTTTTTTGCACAAAGAAAACAAAAATAATGACTTTATTCCACATTTTCGTCTCTACTGCGTCACTTGTGGATGCGCGTTCACAACAGTATCATGACACGATAAACGAAGGTCTTACGGGTTTGGAACAACACGAGAGTGAGTAATCAATGACAGAATTTTCATTTTTGGGTGAGCTAACTCTTTAATGATTACAAACTTGTGACTAGTAGAGTAATGACTGAGGAGGTGATTCATTGGGAACAGCTAGTGATTACCTGGACAGGTACACTGCAAGTATCTCCTCTCCAGTCTTCTTACTGCAGAAGATCCTACACAGCGTCCCACACGCTTCGGCTCGACCCGACTCGTAATTATCAGGAAACTCATTGGCGTCGAACATTGGGTTGGACACCATGGTGTCCGTGGACATCTGAGAGCCTTTACGTCTCAGTTCAACTCCAGCTTGAGTTGCTATGGCTGAGAGAGAGAGACAGAGAGACGGGAAGGAGAGACACAAGCGCAAACACTCAGTGACGCTTTACATGCGAAGCTTTCGCAGGAGCCCATGACAGGGATTACCGACAAAGAGATTTTCAGACAGGCAGAGCAGTAAAAAACGCCCAATCATGCGCTCTAATCTAATAAATGCGACCGCAAGGGATAGAGATATTAAGATGTTATAAACATTAACATCACGATTTTCTGTAAAACTGCTTTTTAAAAAAATGTGCTACATACCGCTTGAATGGCTTAAAACGGAATGTTTCATTTTTAATATATAACAAAATATTATTATAGTTAATTAGCTTTTATAAAACAATGTAATAATAATAATTATTATTATTAATAATATTTTTCTAATATAATATAAAATAATACAGTTAATTAGCTTTAATAAAATAATGTAATAATAATGATTATTATAATTATAATTATAATTACATCAAACTACCCTTCACATAGGTCAAAACTCGTAACGCCATCAAAAGCATGCCGTTGAACAGTTTTAGCTTGATCTTTAGGTCAATAGCAATAATTACTGGATAAAATGCATGACGTTTTATTACACAGGCTAAATATGTAGATGCATCGAGACAACTCAACTTTAAAATGCATATGACATTCAGAGAAATACAAATGTTGGACATTCTGACAATGAAATGCCAAAAGTTTGGAATAATTAGGATTTTTGAATGTTTTTGAAAGAAGTCTCCTATGCTCATCAATATTGCATTTATTTTTTAATCAAAAATACAGTGAAAATTTTGAAATATTATTGTAATTTCAAACAGCTGTTTCTATGTGAATATCTGTTAAATTGTAATTTATTTCTGTGATCAAAGCTGTATTTTCAGGATCATTACTCGTCTTCAGTGTCACGTGATCTTCAGAAATCATTCTAATATGCTGATTTGCTGCTTAAAAATATTAAAAAAAAACGTAATTATTCCAAACTTCTGATTTAAATACTAAGTGAAAAAGTCACTGTTTAACCGTAATTACATACTATTCACCATTTGTACCTATAAATATTCAAGCTTTAGAAGATTTATCTTTCCACGAGAGTTTATTACATTTGTTTGACAGGACTTTCGCATAATTTCATTTGCAGTAGGAAGCGAGTGCTAATCTAATGGGACTTTGGCTTCAGCAGCACATTTCTATCGATTTGGAGGATGCGGCCTTCTTGTTCGGATCACGCGAAATCGCATTGGAGAGCCATAATGTTCAATCGTGTTTGTGTGCGAGCGGCTCGAGACAGAACAGAACGCACTATTCGACATCTCCTGGTCAGTCTCCCTGTTATCAGAGCATCTCGGTTGGATTTCATGTCAGACAAACATTGATTAAAGGCCAATTTCTATAGTCCAGCATCCTAAATTAAGACAATAATGCACGATATGGCTGAGACAAATTGCACCAACAATCATGACATGCAGGAATATCCATACAAAAACATAAAAATAACCAATGAAAACGCTAACAAAACACAAAAGCTGTCAAATAAAGGCTGGGCAAAAACTCAAAATAAGACTGGTTGGTGTGTTTCTTTGGAGAAGATCAGTTAGTAGAGGTCCTTCAGGAGATGGGAACTGGTTTTAATGATGGCGGGTAAGTTGAATCAAGGAGAAGGATCAAGCGCAACAAACATTCTCGGCCCACTTCAGGATCCTGAATATTTGTTGCAGCTGAGCCAATGAGATTTGGGCAGCAGTCAAAACACTCCCCGGACCTTTAACTCAAGCAGTTTATGCGCAAGTCTCTTGCCCCAAGAAAACAAGTACTGCAACAATGGACGAGTGACAGTGTCAACGAAAGAAACGAAAAAGACGGAAGTAAACAAACTGAAATGAACCAAATAACTGCAACTGGTAAAGCTTGTGTTCCTACTTACAAGATTTATAAGAAAGAAGAATTTGGAAAAATGTTGCTGCAAGATAACAGAGATAAAATGGAAACAAATCAAAGAACAGCAGTAGTAGACTATTCAGACGTTTTGTTCTGCTTTTGTGCTTTTAAAGACACAGGGAGACCATTAAAAAGAGTTTCAGTTACCCATCATGCAAAAATGAAAACTGAACAAAAACAATGCAAGTTCAGAAAAGATGTACGCAATGCTATTAACAACTCCACAGAATGGTTTCAATCAATTCACTACATGAAAAATAAGACTAGATTAATGACACACAATTTCAACAGTGTGATAAAACATAAAAACTGTCCAGTTGCCATGAGTGGAAACTAACCCAACATAAACATATTAGAAAGCTGAATGTTAACACATCATAAATCTACTTTTACTTCACATACGTGTACAAAACACCAATTTCAATTCATTGACTGATATTTACCTTACCGATAATACCTTACATACCCATAACTACCTAATTAAAGGAATAATTCAGGCAAAAATGAACATTTGCTCAGAATTTACTCACCTTCAGGCCATCCCAGATGTAGATGAGTTTGTTTGTTCATCAGATTTGGAGAAATGTAGCATTGCATCAGTGTCTCAGCAATGGATGCTCTGCAGTGAATGGGTGCCGTCAGAATGAGAGTCCAAACAGGTTGCAGTCTGCCATCCGAGATTAGAGAGATTACATCCATAAACACCTGTAAAGCTGCGGTTAAAAATTACTTCTTGTTATTAGCCTTCAAGGGGTTGGGCTAGTTTGTGTGTTTTTACTTGGACTGTTTGTTGTTTTATGTATTGTATGTAGCCGTATGTTGATTGTACAGCACTTTGGTCTGCAGGTGCAGTTGTAAAGTGCTCTATAAATAAAATGAATGAATGAATGAAACACTTTAGGGTGTAAAATGAACATGTGTGAGTACTGACTGGGTCAGTAGTGCAAGATTCACCAACTTTAAAGGGATTATTCACCCAAAAATGAAACTTCATCCTCATTTACACTCCCTCAAGTTGTTCTAAACCTGTATGACTTTCATTCTGTGGAACACCAACAAAGCCGTCAGATGCCATTGGTTCTCACAAGCTAAGAAGGTAAACCTGCCAACGGATAACAACTTAAATAGTGCACAGATACATGGACCTATTTTTATATTATTTTTTTGTCCTGATCACTGTCTGCTTTTATAGTATGCAAAAAAGCAGTGTAAACATTCTGCTAAACATCTCCTTTAGTGCTTCACTGAAGAAAGAAAGTCACATGGGTGTCGCCATGATGGTGAGTAAATGATCTGCATTATTGGGTGAATTATTCCTTTAATCCACAAACAATAATCTTGAATTCAAACACAGACGTCCCTCGCATTATGAGCCTTCAGTTCACTAATTTCTTCTTGAAGTTAGTTTGAAGAAAAAAAATTAGCTTGAATGGACACTGAAGTTATAAAATTAGATTTGTCCTTTGTAAACGATACTTAATAAAAAGGCAGACAAGTTTAGAAACAAGGTTGCATCCTAATTCTTATCCTTTTATTCCAAAACTATAAAGTATTGTGATCAGTTCTTAATTAGGATTCGTTTTGAGAGAGTTTGTGACTGAGCTTTGCTTATAATGCAAGAGAAACCTGTTCACAGCATTTCAAAAGTTTCCAGAGATGCAATGAAATGCAACCAGACACACACTCCATCACGCATCCCAGCTCAGTTGCTGATTGGCAGTAAATGCTGGAAACCCCTGCATTCAAATTTGGCTATTTGCCTAAAACCTCTGTGGACATACTGATTGGTCGGCAAAGGAAACCGATCTCCCTCTTGACATCCTGCGTTCCAGAAAGCTCCACAGACAGATTTAAACCGAAAGAGTTTATTGATTGTTGCTTGTAAGTGGAAAGCTGATATTTTACAGCCATTTCATCATGTATACCCTCCAACTCACAGACAGGATATTAAAGACCCCATATTAAAGAAACATGAAGTTGGAGCAGGACGTCATAGGCCTGGTCGCCTTTTT